TGAAGCGAATATAATATAATAATTGGTCACAGGTTAAAGTTCGTTACATATTATATAATATAATATAAAGTTCATTATCTGATAAAATATTAAGTAATATCAAATTCATTGCCGATATTATGTTATATAATATAAAGTCTCTTACATAATATAAGCTTCATTACATATAGTATAATAGCTGGGCTCATGTAAATATTCATTACATGAACATAATCCTAACCTAGTCAGTCGCTATATGTCCTTATTTTCATAATCGTCACTTTCTACCATTTTTATTCATATCACACAACTCATAACTATTTTAACAGTAACCCTCTACTTTGAGTGCTTCTCGAGTCTTGTATTGAATGAATTCTGGTATATATTTAAAAAAAGAAAAACTTCGTTCCTTATGATGGCTTATTGATTAACAATGATACGTGCTGCACTGTGAATTCTCCAGTAAAATTTTCAAAATTTGTATTCATAAATACGTAAGAGACATACAGTATAAGATGTACTTTTAGGGCAAGAGGGAAAGAAAGAGAGAGAGAGAGAAAGAAAGAAAAAAATCTGGTCTAACAAATACATAATGACTTTCTTTTATTACTGACAGAAACACAATTCTTCCAAAAGGAACCTTTTTCGCTCAACATATCTTCAGAAATATTTGTTGAAACGACAATAATCAAAACGGTGAAAGTGAAAAAGGTAGATACGGTGGTTAATTAAGGAGTTACAACTAAAATAAGTTTGTTGCAAAAAAACAAAAGAAAGCGGCGTAAATAAGCCCTAGTGAATATAAAACAAAAAAAAAATGTTCACAACCCACCCATGAAACAGAAAAAACGAAGTTATCTTTCTGCCTTTACAAAGTCGGTCAATGAAAGCTGATGTAAACAGCTTCTAAAAACCGCTAATGTTTAACCGATCGAGACTTGTGTGGCAACCTACATATTCGGAAACGCATCCTGGTTGATCAATTAAATGAGGCCCAATCGCTGACTCAAAAACTGACTGAGTTAATAAGCCATTACTGTTGCTCGCTACAGACTGTCTTCTATAGGCAGGCACGTGTTGCTCTATCCGGGTCTCCAACCGCAAGTTGGTTCGTCAAAAACACAGTCGGCCTCTCCCCAACATTTAAATTGATAAATCACGGAATTACTTTACAAGTATGACAAACTATCCTTAGTGAAAGATGGGAAAAATGTCCCTTAAAAAATGCGTTCTGTCATTTTCAAAGCCATCTTTAAATTCTTTGTTTTAAACACACACACACACACACACACACATACATATATATATATATATATATATATATATATATATATATATATATATATATATATATATGGAGAAATGGACAAAATCCGACAATTTATTTATTAAAGACATTTTTATGTTGAACGTTCTTTTTATAGATACAAGTATTTAGTAAATGCTCTGTTTATTAATACTGTTTATTATAAACAGGCATTTACTTAAATACTTGTATCTATAAAAAGAACGTTAAACATAAAATGTTCTTTATATATATATATATATATATATATATATATATATATATATATATATATATATATATATATATATATGTAAGCAAATATATGGATATAGATCTGATAGTATGAAGAAAAATATACTGAAAAAAAAAACAAAAAATCCTAATATGCGATTATGCTGTTTTAATGTTTAATGTCAATGTCGGACGTTTCGGTCTAATAGACCATCTTCAGGACATATTCATAAAACATAATTAACATAGACCATATACAATTCAATATGAAAAAAACGATGGACATAAAAGCAATACCAATCCAAACAGATAACTGAAATCTTTTATAAGATCAACGTTCCGTTTAAATATGATCACGTCGTCGTCACGTGGGCGATGTTGTGAAAACGTATTCCTAAAATTTGAGTATTTTGAATGAAAAACCAAAATAATTTTATTTTGATCTAAAACTTTTATGTACACTAGACCTGGCTTCTTTAATATTTTCCCTTTTCTAGCAAGATTAATGCTCGACAAACGTACATATATTAGACCAAAACGTCTGACGATGACATTAAACATTAAAACAGCATAATTGCATATTAGGATTTTTGTTTGTTTTTCAGTATATTTTTTCTTCATATATATATATATATATATATATATATATATATATATATATATATATATATATATATATATATATGTGTGTGCGTGTGTGAGTGCCTTTACATATTTATATGTAAACATGGCACTTGATGTTTATGCGCGGTTAAATAAATCAACCATTACCTTCTTTCTTTCTTTCTTTCTTTTTTCATTAAGCCTTTAAATTCGTCGTTTTCCGGCAAAACAAACATTCACACCAAATAAAACAAAAAAGGCAACAATAAAAAAGCACAACACTATTCAACCCACGATAAAAACATCTACACACACACACACGCGCAAGCGCACGCACACACACACGTATATATATATATATATATATATATATATATATTCATACACGTTTCATTAAATAATATAGACAAGTGTTGTCTATTTATTTTATGTAAAAATTTTTCGTAACGTCTGATAAATTTAATAACATTATCGTTGAACGAAGAAAGAAATTCACAATATTGATCCATATTTTTTTTAATATAATCTAAGCTTTCGGCTTACATAAGCCATTATCAAAGATGTCAATTACAACATATTAAACAATATACGGACACGACAGTGATGATAGTCTGTCATTGTTTACATAGATGATTTCTAAGCAACGATAAACACGTGCATATAAGACGCTAGAAGCGAAAATCGCACCGCATCTCATGACGTCACACATGACCACACGAGGGTGAATTGTAGAAGTATGGGAAGCCGTTGGTATATTGACCAATAAAAAAAATATTAAAAAATTAAAATCTTCAGACACACTGGGTTGTAGATTAATATTCTTTCGTTTTTTTTTTTTATTATTTCATTTAGATTCCTCGACTAGTTTCGGCCAAAATGGCCATCCTCGGGAGAAAAATATTTCTGCTTGCTGGTAGCAGTAAACTACAGAAATGCGCGGTTAAATAAATCTACAGAAGTAAACTAAACTATATATATATATATATATATATATATATATATATATATATATATATATATAAAGACAGAGAGAGAGAGTAGTAATTTGAAACACTGTTTTTGAGGCTAAAATTGAGGATAAAGGCATTTATGGCAAGCAGGTTTTGTAGTAGAGTGCTCAATATCTAAGATAAGGATAGAGCATTAATAGAATTAATAATAATTTTTTCATTTATCTCATGTTTACTTCGAAGTTTCGTCGTTACATAGATGCAACTACTCTTCAGAACAGAGTCAAACTGTTAATATTGTAACTCGGCTCTCAGGTAAACAATTTCGACTCGTTATCCATAGCATCACCCACACATCCAAGCTTAAAACACTTGGTATTCCCAAGACATCACCCATATGACCCTCATTATGTAAATACATGCATTTATTTATATTTTATAATCTAATCTAAAATAACCATAGATTCGTATTTAAACGTTTAAAGTTTCATTCCTTTTGTTAAAACAAAGTTTTGATATGCCGTTAAAAAAAAAAAAAAAAAAAAAAACAGTGCTGTCGTAGTCCTGTAAGGAAGTTATTAGGCTTCAACGCTTTATCTAAGTGTCTTTATGACGGTGTCGTGGGAGAACAATATGTGGATCAAATCAGATTCCTACATAAATTGACTGGTCCGCTCTTGAAAAATAATGGGAGACATTTTTTAACAATTTCTGTACAGGGTGGACCGAAAGCCTTGTCACCTCCTACCAAAAAGTAAGGGGAACAATAGAAGAACAAGTAATAGAGTAATTCAAAGCCCATGTACTGGATTCAGTTTATTCACTTTTATTGACGCTGTCACACATCGAGAAGGTCTGTATGAACACCATCATTTTCGTGACCCAAAATGAAGCGGCGTCATGTCTTGTGTGATATTTTACGAAGCTGTGCTTTATTGATTGTTGCAATGGCTCTCTGAAAGGCGTCCTTCAAAAGATGGGTATTCGAGTTTCATTCATTTGAAACTCTCTCCTTGATTATAATACCCCACAGAACGTTGAAATAGAAAATTATATGATGTAGGGCTGACAAGACTTTCGGACCACCCTGCAGATTATCTTTCATTCGACTTTCGTCAAGCCACGGCATTTGCCATTATCGATAATATAGACGACGTAGTATTCAGTCAGTTATGTGCCATGCGTGATACACGCTTAGGCAGTCATAAATCTTTCGATACATGACTGACGAGGCAGATTTCCCGTAGTAGATTGCCATTTCTTTCTGCAGAAGACCAGTTACCATCCAAGGCTATAGAATCCGGTCTGTCCTGCTATTTCTCCATAGCTGGGGGGAGAATAAGAACATTCATACCTTTCCCAATTGTATTAGCACGTCAATCAGTTAGTTATGTGCCATGCATGATACACGCTTAGACGATCATGAATCTTTCGAAACTTGACTGACGAGGCAGATTCCCCGCAGTAGATTGCCATTTCTTTTTGCGGTAGACCAGTTTTCATCCAATACTACAGAACTCTATATATCCTGCTATTTACCCATAGCTGGGGGGGGGAGAAGAATAGAATTCATACCTTTCCCAAGGGAATTAGCACGTAAGTAAATGTAATGGATTCAACTGGAATTCGAAGTATTATGAATTGGAAAAAAGTAATACGCTGTTATCAATGACGTAAGTATAATTTCACATTTGACTGATTAATCTGTTTTTTACGGTTTACCAACCTTTTGCAGGTTATTTAAAGCCAGAAAGTATTTTTAAATTATAAGAGTTTCTTGAAGATAACAATGATTTAGTGATAAAAGTTTTACTAATTAACCCATAGCTTGGGGAGGAAAGGTGGATTCATACCTTTTCCAATATGTGAATATAACGAACCCGACTGGAATTGGAACTCGGGTTAATAATTCCGAGTCGTTATCCATTACATCACCTACACATCCAATCTTACACCACCTGGTATTCCCAAAGGGTCACCCATCTAGGTATTGACTAGGATCGAGGTTGCCTAACTTCAGTGTTCGTACAGGAACCGATGTTTCAACGTGATATGACCCTAAGCCTTGATATTTGCAAGTAAAACAAATCCAGATAAAGCGAGGATTGATTTGATATTTAATTTATTAGGAGCCCATCTAAAATGACTAAAAATCGAAATTTCCGATTTTGATAAATGTGGTGAGGAAGTTTTAATGAATGCTAATCTATATAAATTATTTCTCCAAAATATTCTTTCCAATTTTTTTTATTAAGAGCGGGCCAATTAAGTACTGCCTTTTCTTCTTTTGTATCATTATGACCCGCTCGATGAGGTCACAAATGATATCACCGAGTAATAAACGAAGCAGTGACGCGTGTAACCACAAAGGTGGATATTCAGCTAAATATGACTTAGGCCGACATTATTTTGGTCTCAGCGCGGGAAAAATTGATCAGTGCGTTTCGTCTGGGGCCACCAGCTGTCAAGAATGATAACATCTAATTAAAGCGATCGGCTTCATACGTAGGCCGATGTAAATATTACTAATTGTAAGGAATAGAAAATATCAAAGAAAAGTATTTGGCATCCTTGAATCAGTGACGAATAATACGAATGTCAGATGAAAAGTTCATAGGCTGACCAAAATACTCTCATGGAAGATGACCAAATGAATTTCATTTTTTCCACAAAATCCATCTTGCTGTCCACACGCATTTCTTCCATCGATGTCGCAGTGTTTGTGTTGTAGAGTTTTTCACAGTGGAGGCTTGTATTTCAATAAGTCGTCCTAAATTAGGTTCGACGTACAAAACGTTAGGAACTTGAAATAAGAGTTAATGACGCAGCAATCTAGTTGTGATGGTTGATACTTCAATGTCCGATATCGACTGACTCGCTCAACACCACTGAGCCCAACTGGCGACCGCTACTACTACTACTACTTATTATGTGTGGGAGAGTCTATTACAATAGAATAGGTATTATAACAGTTTGGATCCTGGTTAAGAAGCTCTCATCCTGTTCCTGAAAAAAGGTCATAGAAAGCAGATATGATGTCATCATGACGGATAAACTGGTTCCCAGCCAAGTGGGGTTTTTTTAATGTTGGGGAACAGATGATAGTCAGATGGATGAAATCAGGAGAATAGGGAAGTTTATAAACAAGTACAAAAGCATAGTCACACAAGACAGCCATTAAAACCAAGGACTTCTGTGTTGGGACACTGTCCTAATGAAACAAAATCTCTTTCGTTAGATTTCCTGATCTTGATAGCCTTTTGTAACTGCCTCAGCAAGTTAGCATAGTACTCTCCATTGGTTGTGTGGCACTTTTGAAAACAGTCAATTAACACAATGCCTTTTGCATCCCAAAAAACTGAGGGTATCAGCTTCTCTTCAGATGAAACAACTTTGGTCTTCTTTGGATCAGGTGAGGAGTTTTTTCACTGCATGGATTGCCTCTTTGTCTCCGGCTCACAGTGATGAACACTCCTTCTGGCTTAGGAAACGTTCACGCAAACTAATTGGATCTGCCTCATTGTCAGATTTTCATGTGATGTGACCAGCTTGGTGCGCTTTTGATCCGGTGTCAGAAGAAGTAGCATCCACCGAGCAGAAACATGGATCACGCCAAGTTCATTGTTCTGCGTATTATCAACTCTCTCATGGAATCTGCTAATAGCATTGGCTATTTGATTTATAGTTAATCGCCTGTCATCCATCACCATGTGATGAACACTATGCAATATTTTCCTCGGTGGCGGCAGTTGTAGGATGTGCTTGAATCAAGACTCATCCTGGGTTAGGAAACATTCAAGGAAACCAAATGAATCTACTTTAAACAATGTCAGATTTTTCTGCGTTGTAATCAGCCTGTTACACTTTTGATCAAGTGCCAGAAGACATAACACCTATTGAGCAGAAACCTTCCTCATGCCACGTTAATTGTGCAAAAGACATAGCACCTACTGAGCAGAAACCTTTGCCTTGCCAAATTTATTGTGCAGAATATTCTCAACTCTTTCATGGCACAAGCTAAAAGCATTGGCTATTTGATTCATAGTCAATTGCTTGTCATCCATCAAAATGTGGTGAATAATATTCAATATTTTTGTTGGTGCTGGCAGTTGTAGGATGTTTAGACCTTGGGTCATCTTCAAGACTTTCCTTTCCTCTCCTAAACCCAGCTGCCCACTTTTGCACTGTTGATAAAGCTGGAGCATTAAGCCCTAATACAGCAACCATGTCAGCATGAATGTCTTTGGGGCCTAAACCTTGATAACATTACAATGACAATTTTGTCATTTTTCATAAGAATTCACAATCACGCACAGAACTCATTGAAACCATGGACTTGTGTGCTGGAAAATTATCCTGAGGAAACAAAACCCCTTTCTAGGCATTTTGTCTTGAGAGCCTGTCTCATTAAGTTGGCATAGTACTCTCCATTGATGGTGTGGCCCTTTTGAAGATAGTAAATACAATGCCTTTTGCATCCCAAAGAACTGAGTCTTCTTTGGAGCAGGTGAGGAGGGCTGTTTCCACTGCATGCATTGTCTTTTTATCTCTGGCTCAAAACGATGAAACCAACACTTATCCTGGGTTAGGGAACATTTAATGAAACCGGCTAGATCTGCCTTAAACCATGTCTGATTTTCCAGTGCTGTGATCACCCAGGTGTGTTTTTGATTAGGTGCCAAAAAACATTTTACCCACTGAGCAGAAACCTTTGCCATGCCAAGTTCATTGTGCAAAATATTCTCAAATCTCTCTCATGGCACATGCTAATAGCATTAGCTATTTGATTTATAGTCAGTTGCATGTCATCCATCACCGTATGGTGAACACTATTCAATGTTTTTTTCGGTGGTTGCTGTTATAGGACGTCCAGACCTTGGGTTATCTTCAAGTCTCTCTCTTCCCCGCCAAAGTTCAGATGCCCATTTTTTCACTGTTGATGCCTCATCCCCTAATGTACCAATGTCAGCATGAAAGTCCTTGGAGCTAAAAGCTATGTTTATGCAGGGACTTGATAACACCACAATGCCAAATTGTATCCATTTTAAAAAGAAGTCGTTACTAGTTACTTTTGCACAGTCAATTTACCTGGAAGCAAACAGTGTAGCCATTAAGAAGAGTTGAAATTAATGCATACAGGATTCCGTAACTCTAACATTACTCCTTCATAGTCGGCCTATGAACATTTCAGCACACCTTCGTAAAATAAATATAGCTTAACTGGTTATGGTAGGATTAGCCGTTACCTTATAAGGAAACATTCGGTGTTCATTGACCGAACAGTTAGCGTTTCTGTCGGTTGAAATGTTTAAAAATGTTTTTCCACTCAAACAATTTTTCGAGAAAAATTGCCTTCTCACGTTCATTGGGATCGATCTTTCGAGTATTGATGGAAGTTTCCTCCCTAACCTTTTGGCTGTGTGGAAGTCAACATCTTGATTATATCATTATTTTCACTTCCAATTATATGTGCTATTCATTTTAGTTGTTGCTGCAATTGGAAGTCATCATTGAAGTGGATAGCAACAGTTTATAAGGGATGAAAATAAAATTGACCGCTTCGGATACAGATAATTTTAGGAAACAAATCAATAAAATCAAACAGTAGAGATGATGATGATGATGATGATCATAATCATCATCATCATCATCATCATGATCCTCATCATCATCATCACCATGATCATCATGACGATGATGATCATCATCATCATGATTATCATGAATGATGAAGAAATACAAAATCATGATGATGATCATCATCATCATGATTATGATCCTCCTCCTCATCATCATCATCATCATGAACAATTACAAGTACAGCCCACGCCATTCGAAGGGCTTTATCTATGTAAAATATGTGTGATCTTATGCGGTTCTTTTTTTTGTGGGGGTGGGGCCCTGAAAAAAGGCTCAGTAGAAAAGGTCATGAAGCCATTTCTGATCTTAAATCTGGTTGGGGCCCGGAAAGAAATGAGTATACATCAGAAATCAACGGAAATAAAATAATAATAATAATAATAATAATAATCTATCAACACAAATCGAAAAATAAAAGGAAATCGCCCAGACATTATGATCAAAGACAAAAAAAACGAAATTATGATCAAAAACAAAAAAAATAGCCATTAAGATCAAAATCAAAAAAAGACATGATCAAAAACAAAAAAAAGACATTATGATCAAAAACAAAAAAAAAACATTATGATCAAAGACAAAAAAAAAGACATTATGATCAAAGACAAAAAAAATAGCCATTATGATCAAAAACAAAAAAAAGACATTATGATCAAAAAAAAAAAAAAACATTATGATCAAAGACAAAAAAAAAGACATTATGATCAAAGACAAAAAAAATAGCCATTATGATCAAAAACAAAAAAAAGACATTATGATCAAAGACAAAAAAAACATTATGATCAAAGACAAAAAAAGATAGCCATTATGATCAAAAACAAAAAAAAAAAGATCAAAAAACAAAAAAAATTATGATCAAAGAAAAAAGAAAGACAAAGAAAAAAAAAAATCAAAAACAAAAAGCCATTTGATCAAAAAACAAAAAAAACAAAACAAAGACAAAAAAAAAAGACATTATGATCAAAGACAAAAGACATTATGATCAAAACAAAAAAAGACATTATGATCAAAGACAAAAAAACGACATTATGATCAAAGACAAAAAAAAAATTCTGATCAAAAACAAAAAGACATTATGATCAAAGACAAAAAAAGACATTATGATCAAAGACAAAAAAAATTCTGCACACAGATTGACCTGCACGTAACAAGCGACAAAAAAAACAAGCGAAGGTTTTTGAAAAACTAAACAAATCCAAAGACCCGGAGTTGGAATTAGAAAATTACGGAACTTAAAAACTCAAACTGTTCCTGTTGTGGTTGAAGCTTTGGGTCTGGTAAAGAAAGGAATTCAACAACAAATTCGCTGGTGTTTCATCTCTCCAGAAAGGAAAAAATAGTTCTAACAAGCACAGCCCATATCCTACGTAGATCTTTGTTCAGGTATTTTTTTTTCTTTATTATATTTTATGAAAACTGTCCTT